AAAAAATACCTCTAAACAGGTTCCAGTGTGCTTTATGATGTATGAAGACTTAAGAAAGAAAGAAAATGGATACAGGCAGTCATAGAAAGAAAGAAATAGATTAAAAATAATAAAGTCTTTAAAGAGACAGTAAAAGTAATATAAAAGAAAAAAAGCCACGTAAAGATGGGAAACACTCAGGGAGTCTGGATCCTGTATACTATTGTATTGATTTTTGAATGGTTTGATTGATGAGAAGCAAAGGGCAGCTGCTCAGAGACAGGGAATTGGAAGAGGGGCTGTGGAATGAGCCAGCCTGGATATTTTAAGAATGCCTTAACTTTAATTTTTTAACAGTTTATTTTTTGAGATTATGATAAACTCATCAGCTAGCTGTGCATTCCCTTTCTCCCGAGTTCTCCCATATACCCCTCGCCTCCTTGCTGTCTTGCACTAACCATTCCTACAGACATACTGAGCTCTACACTCTGAAGTTGGTTTGGTTCTGGTCTTCCGTAGTGGTCACCATCTGTTGCAAAGAGAAGTTTTCTTGATCAGGGTTGAAGAATACACTAATCTATAGGTAAAAGTGCTGTGGGAGCTCCTTTGGCCAATAGCCTTTAAGCTCCCAGCCCAAATCTTAAAGGATATTAGCCAAAAGAGCTCCCACAGCACAAAAGGACTAATATCTAGAATTAGGAGTCATGGGGTATGCTGGTTTAGTAAAGATGCAGCTCTTCACTAACCCTAGGTTGGCTGGGTTTCTAGTACTAGGCATGATTTCTCTCCTGTTGAGCAGGTTTTAAGCCCGATTAGAGCAGATGGAACGGATATGTGTGCCACTACTGCCCCCTAATGGTGAGTGTGCCAGGATTGTCTTTGGTGTGGTTCATAGGCCTCATAGCTGGATAGACTGCTGGTCGCTTCCCTCCTTTGGACGTTTGTATGGTGGTTTAACTTTTAAAACTTCAAAAAATGTATTTGTCAAATGGAAAACAAAAATGCTTTGGAGAAGACGGTTTTTTGTTTGTTTGTTTCCACAGGAAACAAGAGGCTGTGGAATTGTTCCAGGCTGATTTGGATCTGGTTTGATCGGGGAGACCTGAAACTTGACAGGTGATATCTATCAACAAAGGCTGTACCTGGTCTTCCCAGGACTCAGCCATATCTCAAATTTTCTCTCTGGGACCCTAAAAATATTTCACCCACATTCAGCAGGAAGTAGCCTAGAAAGCAATGTCCAAATTCACAAGAGAAAAGGGAGGTGTGGGTGGTCTTTGGTTATTTTGTTGGTCATGGATATTTGATATAATTGAGAGTAATATAGGATAAAAAGATTTTGGTAGGGAGTCGGGCGCGATGCTCTCCATGGCCGCTTCCCGAGACCTGGACCGAGAGCTGGCAATGGAGCCCTGAGGCTCCACCGCCCCGCGCAGCTCCGGTTCTCGCCTTACACCTTCAATGGAGGTACTGTATTGGCAATTGCTGGAGAAGATTTTTCCATTGTTGCTTCAGACACTCGATTGAGCGAAGGGTTTTCAATTCATACCCGAGATAGCCCTAAATGTTATAAAGTAACAGACAAAACAGTCATTGGCTGCAGTGGCTTTCATGGAGATTGTCTTACTCTGACGAAGATTATTGAAGCAAGATTAAAGATGTACAAGCACTCCAATAACAAGGCCATGACAACCGGGGCAATTGCTGCAATGCTTTCTACCATCCTGTACTCACGGCGCTTCTTCCCATACTATGTTTACAACATCATCGGTGGACTCGATGAAGAAGGAAAGGGAGCTGTGTATAGCTTTGACCCGGTGGGCTCCTACCAGAGAGACTCCTTCAAGGCTGGGGGCTCAGCAAGTGCCACGCTGCAGCCTCTGCTTCACAACCAGGTTGGTTTCAAAAATATGCAGAATGTGGATCACGTGCCCCTGTCTCTGGACAGCTAGGTGGCTGGTTGAAGGATGTCTTTATTTCTGCAGCTGAGAGGGACGTGTACACTGGCGATGCCCTCAGGATCTGCATTGTGACCAAGGCGGGCAACAGGGAGGAGATTGTTCCCCTGCGGAAAGACTGATTGTGAGCCGGGGATTGGAGCTGTGGCACAAGCTTGGTTTTATTAAAAAGAAACATGAAACTCATTTTCTTAGTGTCTTCTCTGTCAGTGTGACAAACTGGGAAGAATTTCTTCCTTTGAGGCTGAAAAGATGACTCATCAGTTCAGAAAGTGTGGCTCTTGTGGAAGACCTAAGTTTGACTCCCAGCACCCACCTGTAACTCCAGTTCCAAGGGATACAGTGCCCTCCTCTGTCCTCAGTAGGCACATATACATAATTATATATAAAGAAAAATAAAATCTTTAGTGAAAAAAAAAAGATTTTGGTATATGGGTACAAACTCAAAGTCAATTTTATTACACTGTATAGATGTTTTTATTCTTGTTTAAAGGGCTTTTGTATACTGATACAAATTTAAGGTAATTTTTGTTACAACCCACTGTATATTGTTTCTACTCTTGTTTAAAGGTATTTGTTTAAAGGTAATTGTTTAAAGGTAATTGGTATATTGATAACAATGTAAAGTTATTTTTGTTACAACATATTTTATATATGTTTTTGCTCTTGTTTAAGATATTGTATCTATGCAGTTCATTTAAAAATCTAAGGTAAAAGTCTAGTTATGAATTATATAGGACAATCAAGGAACACAGGTCAGTAGTAAGTCATCTATAACAATCAAATGTGTAGCTATTCTAGGTATGTTTTCCAGATCATATGGAGACATATTATAGATAGATAGATAGATAGATAGATAGATAGATAGATAGATAGATAGATAGA